GGACAGGTATTTAACTTTTCTGAGTCTCCATTTCTCATCTGTAAGGAAATGGGCATTTCCAACCTGGATTTTGTTGTGAGTTAAAACAAGGTAAAATTGTTGAACTGACAAAAGGACCTCTTTTAATGATTGCCGCTTACAAAGTAATTTCAAGAACTCAATCTCCAATTGTCTATTTAGTAAATTTCCTATGCATTTTTTCCTTACAGTGGTCAAATGACATATACAATTGACTTATCCACATTCAATCATATGCACTTGACAAAAAAAGAAAAAAATAGAAATAATTTTCAATTACCTAGACAAATTGGCTCAATAGTGTACTTAATGAGCAAATACTCTGGCATAAACATTACTGAGAAATACAAATCATTCAGTGGGCCTCTTAACATGTGAACATCTCAGGGTACAGAGTATAATTCTGGTATTTTGAAATATGTATTTTTGCATAAAAATACTCCTAAAGGACATGCCAACCACTGCATTTTATCAGCTGCTCCACTGAAGAAACAATGTTCCATTTCCAGGCTTGAGGAAAAACTGGCTTTGTTGGAAATATTGAGAAATATTATATATCACTTTGAAGTAGCAACTTCCTGAGGAATTTTCCAATGCAATTTTTTCTTTTATTTTGAAATAATTTTGACCCACAGAAGTTGTGAAAAAAAATTGCCAAAGTAGTTCAGAAAGTTGTATTGACTCTTTATTTTCCCCTAATGTTAACAATTTAAATAACCAGAGTATAATTATCAAAACCAGGAGGTAAACATTGGCACAAAACTATTAACTAAACTACAGACATTATTCACATCTCACTAGTTTTTCTCCTAATGTCCTTTCTCTGTCCCAAGATCTGATCCAGGATCCCACCTTTCATTTATTTGTTACATTTTCTTAATCTATTCCAACTTGTAACAGTTTTTTCAGTCTTTCTTAGTCTTCCAATGACTTTTAATTTGTGACTGTATGAAGATAAACTAAATAATTCAATACATTTTAATATCTTAAGTATTGATTTCCAGATATCTCTGTATAAATCCCAAACCAGGATATTCTCTACAATGGATTATTTATTGTCATTACACAAAAGAATGTCAAGGACATTATCCCAGTTGCATTTAACTGCCTGACTGATAACAAAAAGAACAAACTACTCTTAATCTTCTGTAGTCACTACCTTCTAGAAGGAGCCATTTTAGACACTGGCAGAAAAATCTATTGTATCTTTTGATTTCTAACACCTTGGGTGGACAGGAGATTCTGCAATTCTCACTTTAAGTACCATTCATTTCTTAATAATCTTTCGGGTTTTAAGTAAATGAAAAAAAAAGTTAAGCTTATGGACAAATGAGAATCAGTTCATGTAGAAACTCCTAATGATTGACTTCAACAGCAATTAGTTCTGTTTTAGCCCCAGTATATTAAAAAGAATCCTTCAACTATAAACATTCAGTGGGCACTGACTGCAATGAGAGCATCTTTTAAAGATTTTTAAAATTTGGTAAAAAATGAAAAAGAATAGTTAAGATGTAGAATATTTTAAAATTTAAAATGCCAGCAGCAACATGAGAGGTTACTCTCGAGAGGACTTTGTGATTTCACCTTTTACGTCTTTTATTTGTAAAGATTAAAAAACACATATACTGTAGCTCATATAGATTTTGGTTTGTGATTGGCTTCTTCTTCTTCTTTTTTTTTGGTAAGCTTTGGTTTTGGATTTTTTTTTTTTCCTTTTCTTCTTTTTTTGCAGTGCTGGGGGATTAAACTCAGGGCCTTATGCATGCTATGCAAGCAAGCACCCTTCTACTGAGCTACACCCTCAGCCCATTAGCTTATTTTGTTGTTTTTGGTGCCAGGGATTGAACCCAGAGGCACTTAACCACTGGGCTATATTCCCCAGGCTGAATCCCCAGCCCTTTTTAAGGAGAGAGAGTGTGAGAGAGAGAGTTTAAGTTTTTGGCGGACACAACATCTTTGTTTGTATGTGTTGCTGTGGTGCTGAGGATCAAACCCAGGCCGGACGCATGCCAGGCGAGCGCGCTACCGCTTGAGCCACATCCCCAGCCCCTTCACTCAGTTTCTTAGGGCCTCACTAAGTTGCTGTGGCTAGCCTTGAACTTGGGACCCTCCTCCCTCAACCTCCCAAGCCACTAGGATTACAGGCATGCATCACCATTGTTGGCTCCATAAACTTTTATATTGGAAAAAAATAACATTTATAGAAAAATTACAAAGATAATTAAGTTCACACAAACTTCTCACCAGATTCCTTTTTGGCTAACATCTTGCATGTCCATAATACATAGTTCAAAACTAAGAAACTAACATTGATGTTCTTTTCAGATTTTATTCACATTTCACCAGTTTTTCCATTAATGTCCTCTTTCTGTTCCAGACCCAATCTAGAGCTCCGTGTTGCGTTTAGTTATGTCTCCTTTTCCTCCATCAACCTATGTAGTTCCTCAGCCTTTTTTTTTTTTTAAAGGATTTTGACTGTTTTGATGAATATTGGTGAATTATTTCAGTTGGGATTTGTCAGAAGTTTTATTATGATTTGATTGAAATTATACATTTTCAGCAAGGATTCCACAGAAGTGATGCTTAGCTCTTCTGAGAGTAGGGTAGGTGATATCCATTTGATCATTAAATAAAGATGGTCTCTGCAGGTTTTGTTATTCCTCTCTTTCTGCACCTTATACTTTGGTAGCAAGTCAATATGTCTAGCTCACCAGTAATAGCAGTAGATTAAGCTCCACTCTCTGGAGCAGGACTTAGTTATACATGTTTTCTGGAATTCTTCAGCATGGAAGATTTGTCTATAGGCCTTTCTTTTATTTGTTTATTTTTATGTGGTGTTGAGAATTGAACCCAGTGCCTCACACATGCTAAGCAAGCACTCTGCCGCTGAGCCTCAGCCCCAGCCCCCTTTTAAAAAATCTAACATTATGCACGTGTCCAACTCTTTCACTGATGTTGAAAGAGTTTCTACATGAATCATTAAGAGTTTCTTTCTCAGCATGTGAAATGATGTTGAATAGTTTACTTACTCTACATGTTTTTGGTGGATTCTAATAAACTGCAAAGAGCTCAAACAGAGGGAGAAAAACAGAGAGAGAGGGAAAAACAAAATAAAAACAAATAAACAAGCCAGGCATGGTGGCACACACCTGTAATCAGACATTAGGATAAGTGTCATAAATGAAACTCAGTAAGACGTGAGAAAATGTGTTTAACTCCCGGGGGAGGTATCTGAGAGATTACTATTTGGAAAGGTCAGCTGGAGGTGTTGACCTTTAATAGAGAATTTGAAAAAGAGAACAGGCCGATTGTGTGAAATTATAGAATGGTCTAGAGACAGGAAATGGTCTTGTGATGGTTATTCATTTGTCAGCTGGACAAGGTCATGGGAAACCCATATATCTGGATGAGCTTTATTCTGGTTATATGTTTGAGGGTGTTTCTAGATGAGGTTAGCCTCTCCATCAGTAGACTGATAAAGCAGACTGCCTTCCCCAGAATGGGTCAGCATGATCCAATCCACTGAAGATCTAAATATAACAAAAGGGCTGAGGATGGGAGTTAAGGGGGACTCTGTGCTCTCTTCATGATTGTCTTTGTTCTCCTGTGTTTTTTGACTTGAACTGAAACCTACACATTAGCTATCCTGTTTCTCAGGCCTAGAATTACCATCAGTTTAGACTAGAATTACCATCAACTCTCCGGGTCTTCAGCTTGCTTACTACAGACTAATGCATGTCCCCAGAACAGAAAGGTTTGGGTATAGTTTAAGTGTGACAAAATCCCTCCAAGTTTCATTTGCTGGAAGTTTAGCCCCTGGGGAGGTGGTATTGGGCAATGGTGTGGACATTTAGGAGGTGGGACCTTATAAAAGGCTGCTAAGTCAGTGGGAGTGTGCCTTAGAAGAAACTGAGATATTCCTCATAGGACCACAGTTAGTTCTCAAGAGAGTTTTTGTAAAAATCTAAGCCAGACCCTTAAGTTTCTCTTACTTCTTGTCTGGCTGTGTGGTTGTTGGCTGTCACATGCTTTCTCAGCATTGTCATCTGCCATGAGGTGACACAGTCAAGAAGGGAGTACCCTTGCCAAAGCTGGTGCTATGCTGTTTGAACTTGTGAACTAAACAAACCTGTGAGCTAAATAAATTTTTTCTTCATAAGTAGGCTGTCTCAGGTATTTCATTAAAGCAATGAAAAATGAATTAAGTATAGGTTTGGTGTGGACCAAATGCAGAGAAAGAAGATCATTGGCTATGCAGTTAATTTTTTTGATGTTGTTTGCACTGAAAAAAAGGTGATGTTCAAGATGTTGTAAGTGGAAAAGCCTAATATGAATAATACATATGGTGTTATACCATTTGTGCAGATTAGAAATGGTTATCATTGAATCTACCTATTTTAAGTATTTGATTAAAATACAAATTTATCAAACTTTGTTAACTGTGTTCACTACAGGGTACAGTGGGAATTATGAAGATTTTGACTTTATACTTATACTTTTTTTTTTATACTGGGGATTGAACATGGGGCGTGGGTGCTTTACCACTGAATTATATCTGAACCCTTTTTAATTTTTAATTTTGAGACAGGCTTTTACTAAGTTGCCCAGGCTGGTCTCAGACTTGCTGAGGCTGGCCTGGAACTTGTGAGCCTCCTGCCTTAGCATCATGAGTCACTAGGATAGTTATACTTTGTTTGTCTTAATTTCTTAAACAATAGATCAGAAAAAAAGACCTTTTTTTTTTTTTAAGCAGAGGCATAAGAAACACTTTTAGGATTGAAACTCTTGAATCAATGTTAGGAAATAAGTCCTATACATATGGATTATTTTCCTTTATAAAGTTTTTATATTCATCTCAAACCAGAAAAATGAAAAAGATTATTGATTAAATTGAAATTAATTAACATTTCCAAGATGGTAGTGAGAATATCTTTATTCATTTTCTTCAAACTAATATTATAAAAACAAGTAAGTGGACAAAATTCTTTCTGTGTTATTTATTTAAGCAACACATCTACAATGGTTTTCATGTTTTGGTGAAGAAATAGATACACAAACTCACTGGTGAAATAAAACAAGTTTCATTTTAAGTTGTGTTTTATGGAAGGACTATGAAGTATGGTTATCTTTGAGCACCAAGGTTATGGGTTATTACAGTCTATGTTCATTTTCTTCTTAGCTCCTTTCTACATTTTCCAAATGCGTCATAATAATCGTGTTACTTTTGTTATCAGAAAAGAGATTCTTTTAAAAAAATTGTTACATTAAATTAAATGTCTCTAATTTAACACAGTATACCTGTTCTATGTCAATCTGCTTATGATTTCTATATGATATCAAATAGTTCTCTTCCAATGACTAAGCCTTGCAGATTTTTATTTATACACTAGAACCAAATGATTTACATTGTGATCACATTGGTCCTCACCTCTCTCCATCCAAAATGACAAGACTGGGCCAGTGAAGCATATTCTGGCAAGCAACATTAAAAATGTCATTACCAAAATGACTATGCAGGTTTTCATCAGACTTAACAGAACCACAATGAAAGGTCAAAGCAAGGAGAAGCTGACTGTTAGAAAAACTTAGCCCTAAAATGGTTCATGACAAATGCTTTCAGGTTACACAGAAAAAGCTTGAAGTTGCAATGTGGTAGCAAAAAGAGAGATTTTCTTTATGACAATTGAAGTGTTTATGCCAAGGATTTGAGATCTTTGGATGAAAGTTATTAAGTAAATGCTCCACGACATGAACCTTGTACATCAGCCCCTGTAGCATAATTATAGTTTGCTTCCAATCATCCAGAGCCTTTCTGTGTTTTCTGGTTTGGGCTTCTTAGCCTTTTAAATTAGTTCTGAGTCATTAGGCTTTCACCCTAGGGGCAACTCACAAGCTCCACAAAAGAGCTAATATTTTTCTTAAATATCTTTGCAAGTCAAAATACCTGTTTTTTAGACAAAGAATGTAAATTCCCATAGTTAAAGAAACTAAATACTTGTTTTTCCCTTTTTGCCCTCCATTTTCTAAAATCTCTTATTTATAACACAACAAAACTTAAAAGAAACTCCAATTCATAATTAAAAGCTAACTGAAGGCCAATTATTCATTACAACTGGAAAGTCTAACGTGAAGAGGGTAGTTGGGAGCAAGGTGGTATAAACACTACTAGGATACCAACCTTAGACCAACTAACATTTTGGGCTGAATAATTCTTTGTTGTGGGGGTATATCCAATCCCTTGCAGGATATTCAGCAACATCTTGGCCTCTTCCATTAGATGACAGTAGCGCAGAGCTCCAAACACCAAATGTGACCACCAAAAATGTCTCCAGACACTGCTAAAATTCTTTAAGGTAAAAAATCATTCTCCATTGAGAGCTACTGCAATAAGCCAAAGACCCTACAAAACCAATCCCTTTCTATGAGAATAAATACAGACACTCACTCAAGTTCCCTTCTTTTTTTTTTTTTTTCCTAGTGGTACTAGGGATAGAATCCAGGTCCTCTTGCATGCTAGGCAAGCACTACAAATGAACTATATCCCCAGCCCTGTTCCCCTCATATTCTTCATATTAAAGCCTTTGACTATTGTCTAGGATTCGTCCTCTCAATTATATGTGGCCAATTTGGCTAGGGAGGAGAGAAGCAGTCACTGTTCACATTCTTTACTGAAATGAGTGGTCATTCTTTTTTTTTTTTTTTAATTTTTTAATATATATTTAGTTTTTAGCTTTTGGACACAATATCTTTATTTTTTATTTTATTTTTTTATGTAGTGCTGAGGATCAAACCCAGCGCCCGGCGCATGCCAGGAGAGCGCGCTACCGCTTGAGCCACAACCACGGCCCCAAGTGGTCATTCTTATCCCTTTTAATGTCCTTAATGTTCATAATTCTTGACCTCTAATGCTCTGAACTATCCCTAGCTGCTTCTTCTTCTCTTTTTTAAGAGAAGAAGGTCTTGCTATGTTGCCCAGGTTGGTCTCAAATTTCTGGGTTCAAGGGATGCTCCTGTCTCAGCTTCCCATGTAGCCAGGACTATAGGTGTATGTGACCACACTTGGATGTCCTCAGTGTCTTCATACTAGCCATGCTCTGCAGCCCTAGGCTCCCCATGAATATTGTTTCAACCGTGATTTTATTTAATTAACAATATTTATTCTGCTTCACAAGTGTTTTTCTCATTTGGCTCTTAAATACCCAATTATGATCCAAGTTCAAGATATTTATTTCCTGAAACCATCCTGAATTTTAGCCTATTAGTTAAAACCATGGGGAGAGATTTACAGAATTAAGAAAACAATTCTTTTCCTAAAATACTCAATAAAGCAACACATAACTTTTATTTTTATGCATCCTAATATACTTGAGGGATGTTTATTCTCCCCACTACAAATCATCTGCTATTTGAAGCACCAAAGAAAACAGCCAGAGGGAGCTGATTTCTTCTATGGAGAAATATCATTAAGTAATTCTTCCTTGTGGAGAACTCTGAAAAGTGGACCCATTACTGAATTCATAAACTCAAGCAAGCATCTTCATTTCTCCTAATCTGTTTCATCTTTAGTAAAATGAGAACAATGATATCTACCCTCCAGAGCTCTTATATTGAAAGCAATGACCTGTTCAAGCTCTAAGCTCCATGCCTGATATACAGGTATTTTATAAGTGACATTGTCTATGCAGCTTCCCTTCCTTGTTCCCAGCACTGGCTGAATAATTCATGGGGCTCCATGCAGATTAAAAATGAAGGCTCTCTTGCTTAAACCAAGTGCGGGACTCTGCTACATGGGGCCCCATGTGACTGCCTAGGTTATTTATTCATATAGCTAGCACTGCTTATTCTCCAGGAGTTTCCCAGGGTACACCTGTCTACCTTCCACTAGATGAAATTCCAATCTTCAAAACTGATCAGGAAATAAGGGCAACTGAATACCTGTGTGGTTTTTCAGTGTTGGCCTAGGTCTCTTCTAAAAGGACTGCTGTTTTCATCTGCCAGGATACTGCAGTGGTTTGCATCATCCTCAATCTGGAAGAATTAAAAAAAAAAAAAAGTCCTTTTTTAGAAGTAACAGGACCCTTGATTTATAGCCCAAGAGGCACTAGATTCTAAAGCGCTTTATTTGGACTTATCAAACAGTATTCACAAAGAATGCAGGGCTATCTCTTAACAGGTGATTTAGATCCTATGCAGACTTTTAGGGAACTGCTACAGATGTCTAAGAAAGAGAAAGACTGGGTCTCCAAACCACTGAGCTCCAGCTCTCTTTCTATTCCTTCTTTATGGATGCATCAAACATGGCCTTTGTAGGACTTCTCAAGGTTCTTGCATTTTGTTTAATAAGCAACAGAATCATATGAAAAACAGAATGTTAAAATATGTACATACCTATGTTAACACAAATATACACATGTGGGTATACATGTACACACATTTATATGTATATATTAAAATTGTTGACATAAAATAAGAATTCTTCTTTACCTAGTATGTATGAGGTCCTAGGTTTAATTCCCAATATGAAGAGAGGAAAGCAAAACCAAAACAGAAACCTTCAGCTTTAAAGGAAATAAGAAAATAGCTTCTTAATCAAATATGAGTAACCAAAGCCTGGGAACATGGATTCAAGTTACCCTTAACGACATGAAATGAAAGAGGTTACATAAATAAAGTCATAAATCAATACAATTGATAAATACATTCGTGAAGTGGACAACAGCAAAGCTTGAAAAATCTCTCCTATAGTCTCCAGATACTAAATCATTCAGTGGAGGCTGGTGGTCTGTGAAAATTAACAATTAATTTTGATGAGAATGTTAGGTCAGATACAAAGGTTAAAAGTAAATGGCTACAGGGCCTACAGTAGTCCAAGAGAATTTTGGCTCTTGACCTGCAACATTCCATCTCTCCACAATCATCCTGTTTTTAGTCAAGGTCGAGAAAGCAAAGGGGGGGTGGA